AGCAGATCCCGGCGCAAGACTTCGCCTGGCTCCGCCAAGGAATGGAAGATTTGAGGCTCGAGGTAGCGGATTTGCGCCGGTCGAACGTGGATATGACCTCCGCCTTCAGAGACCTGAAGAGGAGTGTTGATGATATGGCCTCCCGTTTCCCTTATAGCCCGGGCGGGCCTAGCTCGTGATCCCTTTCCCTTTCCCTTTAGTTACCTCCCTCTCCTTACTATTGTAAGTCCTTGATGTGTAAACATTGAGGACAATGTTTGATTCTAGCTTGGGGGGGGGGGTCTTACTTGTATTTAGGGATTTGGATTTTTGGTAGTTTAGTTTTTATTTGCTTTCGAAAAAAAAAAAAAAAATATAGAAAAACAAAAACAAAAAGATTTACTGCTTTCCTAGACTAACCTTAACTTGTTTGCTAGTATGTTTTTCCTTTTTGCAGATTGGGAACATTCGAGACGCGGCATGAGTTTGAAGAACGATGCTATGGCCGTTAATTGAAGCTCCCGGGAAGCAAATTTGGTGAGATCTTTTCTTTTTTTTTTGTGTGCTTAGGATAGTTTAGTTTAGGAAGAAGTTGAATGGTTCGAGGATATTTGATCGGTTCTAAGTAACCTGGGATCGTTGATGTTGATATCATTCGATCACTTGTTTGTCGATTGGGATTATTATGTGATTTTCATGCCTCTTTATGAGCCATTTAGCTTGTTTAGATTACTTAGTTGTTTATATATGTGTGCAATATAGGAAAAGCTTCTGTTATGAGAATGGGTAGTCTAGTTTATATGATTTGCCTCATAGTCTTTTCCTATATTTTTGGATCGTGATAAACTTGTCTAATTGCATAAACTTTTGGAATAATGCTCATATTTGGATTCGAAACGTGAATGAATGTGTGTGGAATATCTATTTCTACTTAAGCCAGTAATGAATGCACAGTTTGAGTCTATTGTTGATCAATGTAGACGAGTCTAGGCGAAGGTAGTTGGTTAGAACACTTTTGTCATGTGAAACTCTATGCCTTTGGGCTGTGGTAAGATGGAGTCGCTTCCCATTTGTGGATTTGATCCCCTTAATTGGTAGTTGCTTTGTTTTTTTTTTTTAGATCCCGTGAGGTTTATTTGTTCTAGCCTTCATCATTCTTGTTGAGTGGCATATTTGGATCCTTGATTACGCATTTTTCGATCTTTGTGTTGACTAGTAGCTCCCGAGACCGACTTGACACTTTTAAGGGAGGAAGAGGGCACCTTTTTCATTTTTCTTATTTTGTTCCTTTTGTTTTATTACAAATTAATTTTCTTTTTACATCATCTTACTTGCTAACCATGTTGAGCCTTTAATTCCATTCTTGGTTACCCATGTTACAAACCCGATGGCCGATGTTTTACCAACCCTTAGTTGTGAAGCGTTTACCTCGCAAGGTTTGTTTGAGCTTAATTGTAAAGATGTAATATGAAAATTTGTTTTTGAAAAAAAAAAGGAAAAGAAAATCAAAATAAAAAAAAAAGGAGAAAAGTCGTCCGAATTGTGAAAAAAGGCAAGGACACATAAATAAAGTTTTGAAGTTTGAAAGAGGTCATTTGAGTGTGTATTATATGGATAATTCGAGATGTGTAAGAATGTGAATCAATGAGATTGTGGAAAGTGAATTACATCTTTTGAACTATTGTTTTTGAGAATTGTGATTCTTGCGCTTCATTTAGGAATTAACCCCACTTTTTTTAAATTGTTTTCACCTACCTTACCCATTGCCAATACATTACAACCCTTTTAAGACCCTTAGACTTTAGAGGTGTTCGGTTCTCAAACGGTGGAGGGAGATACCTTTTAACCCTATGGAAAGATTATGCGTAATCGAGATGTCGGGATACCTTTGTAATTTCCTCAAAATATCATTTTTTCCGGTTCCTTTGAGGAATCACGAGGGGCCAATTAGGGTGGTGATTTGAAGCAAAAGGGGAGGACGTGGCCGGTTTGGTTGGGTTTAGAGGGAAGCATGACTTCTTTGTTCTCTAGGCTTGGTTTAGGTTTTGTTTGCATTTTGATCAACGATACCTTGGATTGTGTGTCTCGTTGCTTGTTTGAGTGAGTTTTCATTCCGTGCATGGTTGTTCTAAGTAGGATCCATTGACTTCATTCCGTGCTAAATTGGATTTATATGTAATGGCAATAGTTTATTTGATCCTGTGTGTGTGTGTATCCCTTGGTTTTTGCTCGAGGACTAGCAAAAGTGTAGCATGGGGGGTTTTGACAAGCGCACTTTAGGGCGCGCTTTAGAGCATATTTTAGGATGATTTTGGATGTATTTGGGGCCTCTTTGGCCGATTATTACCTTGTTATGCTTACGTTCCCCATATTACGTGCTTCACGGGTTTTCGGTTTGTTTTTGATGTGTTTTCAGGTAATATCAACCGAGTTTAATCGGATCCCGAGCCCTTGATGCGTAACCGAGCTAGCCTTGACCGGAGTCCGAGGAGTTAAGGTAGTTCAAGTGCCGTGCATTGATTACATAGCACAGGCAGCACGGCCGTGTTACCATAGGCACACCCGTGCTGGCCTATAAGCAAGCAACCCCAGGCAAGGCAGCACGGCCGTGCAAGCCAATAGCACGGCCGTGTCAGTATCCACGCACCCGCACGGCCGTGCAGGCCATTAGCACGGCCGTGCCAGATGTTGCCCGTGCCCGTGTCAGCTTCAGTATGAGCCCCGTGCTAGAGCATATTCAGCACGGCCGTGTCATTTTTAGCACGGTCGTGCCAGGAAGCTGCACGGCCGTGTCATTTTTAGCACGGCCGTGCCAGGAAGCTGCACGGCCGTGCCATATATAGCACGGTCGTGCCAACTTGAAGAAGAAACCCGGTTTACTTACTGACAAGCTAGCACGGCCGTGCCAAATACAGCACGGCCGTGCTGATCCAGGGTTAACTGCGCGCTTGACTTCTCCGAATTAGAAGACGTATATAAGGCCCGATTTTAGGAGGATTAAAAGACAGTTTTTAGAGATAGTTTTGAGAGCCTTTGTAGAGAGTTATTGAAGAACGTTCTTAGTATTAGAGATTCATTAGTTTTCTTAGAGATTATTCTAGCGATTTTAGTTTTCTTGGATTGATTTGAAGTAAGATTTGTGAAGATTCTTTGTATTATTCATTGACGACGGATATCAAAGTTCTGAACTTTTCCATTGATTCGCATCAATACAATTGGTATTATTCATTCTTGTTTATTAATCAAGCTTTATTATTCCTTAATCAGAATTCATGTTTATATCTATTATGCTTTTGGAATTCATTATTGCTTTGATTATGAATATGTGTGAGTAGTCTCCTAGCTAGGGTTTCGGGATGAAACCCAGCCTAGGTAATCTATGTAATTGAGGATTGATTTTGATAAACGGATTGTGATTAAATTGATTATATGCGATTGCATGTTAATTCATTATAATAGGAGTAGCTAACCTAGAATCTTGAATTTGATTGCATGATATCCTTGATTTGAACAAGAGATTGTGAATTGAGTATTTCATTATTGAATGTGGTTTGATTATGTATCGAGTAATGTTAAGTGCATGAGAAATCCAAGCTTAGTATTGCTCGTTGTCTTCCTATCACATGATATTGATCAGACATATAGTCTTTGCATATCCCGTTTGTCTCTGTGATTCCTTGTTGCGTAGTTACCGATGGTTTGGTGAATTCCCGTTCTCCCTAGTGTCTTAGTTTATTGATTTATTCCATCTTATTAGTAGTATTTTAGAACACCATTTTCCATTGATTTCGAACTAGCTTAGGTTTAAGATTGATTTGCAATTACTCTCGTTCCTCGTGGACCGAACCTTTATTTTCCATTGTACTTGGTTATAGGGTGTTCGTATAAGTATTGTTTGATTGAGAGTTAGATTGTAGCGACCATTTTAACCCCTGTCATTTTGATTATTATTATTGTGAACATGATTATTTTAATTATAATTTGTTATAATAATTGGTCATGATTATTATTATGATTATGTTGCTTGATGCTTATTTATTGTTATTGCTTGATCACACCTTTTATGCATGTTTAAAGGGAATTTGTACTTGTAATCACGCTTAATAAGATAATTAATAATCTTGTTTAGGGTTTATATGATTATAATTCAAGTGATCGCCAATAATAGATTTATTTGTGCATTAATATTCAACCAACATAGATAAACAGGTTTAGGTTAATCCTATTGATTGCATGTTAATTAAAAAGCGCACATGAATACGATCAGAATAAAGTAGAGGCCTATTATTAGGGCAGGTTCAATCTCTTTTAGGTTGGATTTATACCTTCATCCCCGAACCCTTATTTGGTTCAAGACCTTATGGAGTTGACGATCTCTTGGATCGTTAAGGGGTGTAACCTTCACCCTGTTAACGGTTTACAAGTTCCTAAAACTTGTTAGCGACTCTTTTGCTCTATCTTCTTCCCTTTTGGACGCCACCGTTCTTTAGTGTATGATCACAGTGGGGTTCAAGCATGGGGTTAACACTTGAAAATATTGCCTACACTAGGGATGCGTAATTAAATTTTTTAGGAAGTGTGTGGTCTATCAAGCTTCCAAATATGACACTTTTTCTAAGCCTGGTGCATTACAACCTTTTCCTATACTTGAGCAAATTTGGACTGACATTTCTATGGATTTTATGACAAGGTTGCCTATATATAATAGGGTTGCCTATGTCTATGAGCAAAAATGTTATTTTGTGGTGGTTGATAGACTTAGAAAATATGCCTATTTCATGTCCCTTAAGCATCCTTTTACAATTGTTGAGGTAGCTCGGGTATACTTAGATTATGTGTTCAAGCTCCATGGGTGGCCTAGGAGTATAGTGAGTGACAAAAATCCCATTTTCTTTAGTTATTTTTTGAAGGGGCTATTTTCTTTGCAAGGTACAGAATTCCTTTTATCATCTTCTTATAATCTAAAAATAGATGGGCAGACTGAGGTGGTAAATAGGTGTTTAGAGACATACCTAAGGTGCATGACTAGGGATCAGCCTAAAGAATGGTGTAATTATCTCCCTATGGAAAAATGGTGGTATAATACTCATTTCCATTCTTCTGCTGGCATGACTCCATATGAAGTTTTATATTGTCAGGCTCCCCCAATTCATTTGCCCTATCTCCCTGATGAATCAGCTAATGAGTTAGTTGATAGAAGCATGCAGAAGAGAGAAATGATACTAAAGGTTCTTAAGGAAAATTTGACTAAGGCACAACATAAAGAAGTTTGAGGTGAATGATTGGATTTGGCTCAAGTTGCAGCCCTATAGGCAACATTTTGTGGGTAGCAAGAGCAATCAAAAGCTGGCTGCTAAGTACTTTGGCCCTTTCAAGGTTTCTGCTATAATTGGAAAGGTGGCATATAAGGTGCAGTTGCTTAGTTCAACAAGAATTCACAATGTTTTTCATGCATCTCAGCTAAATCCTTTACGTGGAACTCTGCGAGCAACAGCTGTCCAGCCAACTAAATTGAATCAGGAGGCTCCTATTCCATCTTCTCCTACTTGTATCTTGGAATCAAGGTCAATTCCTGTCTCTGGTATTGATCAGGTGCAATATTTGGTGTAATGGATGAATTAGCCACAGCATGAAGCTTCTTAGGTGGCAAAGGATGATTTTGAAGCCATGTTTCCTGGTTTGTTGTTGTTCAGGCTTGAGGACAAGCCTCTTAAAGGGGGAGGATATGTTACAGTATGAAGAGTATTAAGCTGAAATATTTGGGGGGAAAGTTTGTTAGAATTGAAGTTTATTTGTGAATTACTTTTTGTTTTTGTCGTTTCTGCCTTAGTTTGGTTGTTAGAAAGGAAATATTTCTGTTTTGCATTTATGCTTATTAAAGCTTAGGTGAGTTGTATTTGGCTAATTAAGAAATATAATACAACTTCTCTCTCTACATTCTCTCTTCCTTTCTGTCTCTATTCTGTTTCTCATCTCTTCTTCTTCTCTAATTTCTCTTTCTTCTTCATACTCCATCTTTTCTAGGTATTGAGCTTAGTTTCTGAAATCAGAAACTCGATAAGGAATTTGATCCTTATCACAGGCTATTTATGAGTAGTTTCTAACAAAATTTCCTCAACATTAACCCTTTCAAAATAATTTTGATCAAAATTATAAATTTTATGATGATTTGGGCATAGATGAGTTTATGTTATTAAATACTCATAATTGTCGTAAGAATGACTCAAGTTATATAGAAAGATAGGCAATGACTCAAAGAGTGATGTAATAACACATCAGCAATTACTTATATTGACGTAATGTAGCACGTAATACACAATAAAATATATGCTAACTGTCGTTGACACAAATCTTTTCTTCACATTCCATCCATAAATATGGTATAGGCTCCCTCCAATTTACATGGCCAACAAAAATAATATCAAACTCTTTTTTAAAAAATATATCTTCAAAAAGGTAACAATGTACCAAGCACTTCCTTACAAGGCATGGCACACAACAAATTTATTTCCTACACCATCATCCTTGAATGATCATGCAAGTTTATCTTTGTCGAAATGGATGGCGGTGAAGGGGGAGAGTATAGACATTAAGAGTCTAGTTGATGAAAATGCAGTGACAGTTTTTGGACGACGTGGGTGTTGCATGAGCCATGTTGTACGACGTTTGCTACTTGGCCTTGGAGTTAGTCCAGCTGTTTATGAAATTGATGAGCAAGATGAGCAACTCGTCGTAGATGAGCTTAAAAAAGTGGGGTCCAACTGTGGTGGTAGTGAAAAACTGGTGAGTTTTCCGACGGTGTTTATTGGTGGGCGGTGGTTTGGTGACTTGGATAAGGTTATGGCGGCTCATATTACTGGCGAGTTGACTCCAATTCTTAAAGATGCAGGGGCCTTATGGCTTTGAAGTATGAGCAATTAAATAAGAAGAAACTGCTTTTTTTTTTTGGGGGGGGGGGTTGTTTTTGTATTTATTGTAACTGATTTCACCTAAACCCCATAAATATAATACAAAATTTTTTAAAAAAAAAAACCGATGTATATTAATATAGTGAATGGCGGGATTGGCGGTAACAAATAAGAAAGAATTTGTTACCAAATTCTACCAAATTCCTTCACGTGCTTCCTGGCAAAACTTGAGACACATTATTTTCTCTCTCTTCCTCATACTCTACTTTCTCTCTCTTCTTCATATGGTACTTTCTCTCTCTTCTTCATACTTTACTTTCTCTCTCTTTCATTTTCATCATATTTTCCCTTAATCTTTGCGATTTAATTAGATTTTCGGCTTAGATTCCTTCTCTTAAGGTGAAGCGAGCTCTAACTCGAAGAAAGAGTCATCGTCGTCGCTTTGCTCGGTGAGATAGTCGGAAATGGTAGAATCGGCAATGGTTTCAATACTTTCAGCGTCGCTAGCGATGGTTTCGGCGGCGACTTTTGATTTGTTTGAGTGATTGTACTGTTTTTTCATGACTTGTTAATTTTGTGTTTATTTTTGTTGATTTTGATACTCTGTTTTGCATATGTAGTTTAATTACTTTTGTGAAAAAAATGGTCACTTTTGTGAAAAAAAAAAGGGTTACTTTTGTTGAAAAAAAAAGGGTTACTTTTGTTGAAAAAATGTCACTTTTGTGAATAAAAAAGGGTCACTTTTGTGAAAAAAAGGGGTCACTTTTGTAGAAGAAAAAGGGTCACTTCTATACGAAAAAAGGGTCACTTCTTGCAAAATGTTCGATGTACAATAAAATCATTGTAAACCGGGGGCATGCAAAAGGGATTGTAAATATAATCATATTTAGAATTTAATAATGATTTAGTAGTAATAAAACATTTCTTCTCTAGTCTGAGATATGTTGCCTTAAGATGAAAAGACAAAACTATGGTGTTAAATTAAGACAGTTTTTGAAGTTTTACTTGATTAAAGTTCCTACAATTTCCCACTTAAAGTTGAGTGTAGGATAAGCTACATAACATGAGGTGTGTCACAGCCTAGAAATCGCGACAACTAGATTTGTTTCAAATCGTGGCTTAAAAGTCTGCCTAATGTACAGGCTCAAACCAAGAACTTAGCTTCCCACCCACAATGGTTGGGGTCAGCCATAATACACCCACCAGCCCCGCTCCAATAACCAAGTGATGACTATACTACCTAATGCATGAATGCAACTATTGCTGTCAAAGGCAGTTGCTATACTGTTGATTAATCACCTCTTACAGAGGAAAATTCAGATAAAAACAGCTATTATTGACAAGATATCCCTCGACAAGTTTCAGAATTGTCAATGTTTCCACCTGTCCAAAGCAGAAACACATGATGTAGCAACTACGTAAGCCAAGGGCAGTGATTGTAGAAGAGTGCTAAAACAACTAGTTCAGTCAACTACAAAATCTATCAAGTAGAATAACAAAGGAAGAAAGTATAGACTTTGACAAACATGTACAATACACATCTAGAATACAAACAGGAATTCAGAAATTACAATTATATAGTATCCAGCCAAGAATCAAAATCTTCCATAGCCTTGGAGTTGGAACCGGATTGGGGTGTAGACAATGAGGGAACCTGGGTGGATCGGAAAAGACTATCCGTATTGCTTGGGTTGGATGTTTCTGCGAGGAGGTCATCAAGCTCAGTATCGAGACTACTTATGATGGGAAATGCAGGTGCAGATTGGCCCAATGAATGTTGTAATGGAGCTAAATGATTAGCTTTATGTCCCGTGATAAATGATGCAGAGGTTCCTGTTTGATTTAAGGGAGTATCAAAAAGCTTTGTCTCGTTAAATGATCCAAGAAGCATGTCAAGCTCTGCTTCTGCAGAAGCAGCTTCATATCTTGATAACGGCCTTATTTCTTGCTCACTTACATGACTAAACTCAGGCTTTTCTCTCTCATCCAGAAATTCCAAGTCGTCTGATTTGCTATTTGCAACTTGCTTAGTTACATGACTAACCTGCCCTACATCATCTAATTTGCTCTCTGCATGTTTCTTGCTACCATGATCAAGTTGTACTTTTTCTCTATCATCAAGAAATTCCATGTCATCCAATCGGCTCAATGTTATATCACCTTTAGATTCTGATTTTGATTCTGGATCTAGATCATGGCGGCTGGTATTATTTGATGAAGGCATCTTACCATCTTTCTCTACATCATGACTCTTAGCCATTCGTTCCTCTTCCAAATAAAGAGCTAGTAACTCACCAAAACTGTCAATTTTTTCTATCTTTTGTCTCTCAGATGTATGTAAAGGCGCCTGATTATCAGCTTCTCTCGCATCTTGGTGATGCTGCAAACATGAAGGAAGCATGAAGAAAAGACCATGTTAGTGTACAAAGTATATCAAGGAATCGGTTGTTCATCACAATACTAGGGGATATTTGGCATATAACTTACATAAGCTCATTTAAGCACTAAAAACTTATGTTCCAGAACTAAATTCAACATGGAAAGGTTGTCTCATGACCAACTACTAAACTCAAATTACCAAAATTGTACCCAAATGGTAACGTGCTTTTGACCTAGACCTAAATCAAGTCAATCCAAAGCAAAGTAATATTGGAGGCCATATGACTAATATTGATTGAGATTTCATTGAAAATTCATTTCTAAACTGCAATTATCTAAATCCAAATGAGTTTTTTATTTGTACACAGCGCCGATGGTACATGACTCAGCCTAATAATGTTGAGCTGAAGCATATCTAAAAGACCCATTTGCAGGCCAAGGAATTCTTATCTGCTATGGACTGCTGATTCCAACACTAGATTGATAGGTAAATAAGGGAAATAAGAGAGTAAAGCTGGAATCTTTGATTGATTAAAAGCTGAAACTACAATGGTGAAAGGTTCTACCTTGGAGGCTATTCTACTACTAAATAACGGCTACAAGATTACTTCATTCAACATGCCCTACTCTCTTACATTCCTCTGCTTATATACTCAGCATTCTCTCCTAAATCAGTGACCTAATCATTACAAGTTTTGTCTTCTTCTTCTCCAGGTAATTGTTGCCCTGTTGCCTCAACATTCCGTGGAAAATCTTCTTGTTTGTCCTCTTGTGACAGCTCATAGAATACCTGCCCTCTACCTGATTTGCGCCTTCTCTCATAAACTTTGATTTGCTTAGGAGACCTCCCTTGAGTCATAGCAATACTCCCCCCCAAAACCTTCACCTTGTCCTCAAGGTGGAAGGAAGGAAATCTGAGGTTGATCATCCCAAAGTCTTCCCAAGTGGCCTCAAAGGCAGGCAGTCCGTGCCACTTGAGCAACACCTCCAAGTCATGGCTGCTCCCTCCTGACTTCTGCCTGACCTCCAGCACCTCTTCAGGTTCCACTATTAACTCAAGGTCTGCTGAGAGGTTGGATGGAATTGTAGGGTTCACCGGAGCATCCCCTGCTGCCCAAGACGATATGAAACACGGGGTGCACCTTGCAATTGTCTGGCAGCTTAAGACGATATGCCACATTCCCAACCCGCTGCTCTACTTCAAAGGGGCCATAAAAGCGAGCAGCCAACTTCTCATAAGGCCTCTTGGCAATTGTACGCTGCCTATACGGTTGGAGCTTCAAAAACACCCAGTCCCCTACCTCGAATTCCAACTCTCTCCTCTTGCTGTCCTCAACATCCTTCATTAATTGCTGAGCGCAATTGATATTCATGCGAAGCTCATCTAAAATCAGTTCCCTTTCCAGCAGTCCCTCCTCTAAACTCTTCACAACTGTTGACCCCTCCCTTGGTTTCCAGATTTTGGAGGATCCCTCCCATAAACCACCTTAAAAGGGGTCATCTTGGTGGTGGTATGAGGGGATGTGTTATAGGCATATTCAGCCCACGGAAGCCACTGTGCCCAACTCTTGGGTTGACTGGCCACAAAACAATGAAGGTAGGTTTCAAGGCATTTGTTTACCACCTCTGTTTGGCCGTCCGTTTGGGGATGGTATGATGTGCTGCGCTTAAGATGGGTCCCCTGTAATCTGAACATCTCCTTCCAAAAGATAATTAAGAACACCTTATCCCGATCCGACACAATGGAAGATGGAAAACCATGTAAACGAACTATCTCCCTGATGAAGATTTATGCCACCTTCAGAGCAGTAAAAGGGTGCTTCAGCCCCACAAAGTGACTATACTTCGACAACCTATCCACAACCACCATGATGACATTCACACCTTTCGAAAGAGGAAGCCCTTCGATGAAATCCATCGAAATTTCATCCCAAATCACCTCAGGCACAGGAAACGGTTGTAGCAACCCGGCTGCTAATTGTTGGGACACTTTACTTCTCTGGCAGACATCACAAGTACCAACATACTCTCCCACCTTCTTGCGCATGCCCGGCCAGAACCAGTCGGCTGCCAAGCGCAAGTACGTCTTGACTTCCCCTTCATGCCCACTGACCGGTGTATCATGATATTCTCTGAGTAAGACTGGAATTAGCTTTGATTTCTTGGGCACCACCAATCTGCCCTTGTACCGTACCCTGCCATCCAATACTTAAAAACCCTTGCAAGCTTCTGGGTTCACTGATAACTTCTATTTCAATTCTGTCAGCCATGGGTCTTGGGGCTGCCTCCGCATCCAAGTCAGCCCAGTCCACCTTTTGGGTTGAAATCAAAGCCCCAAACTGGATAGCTGCTTCTCCTTTTCTCGAAAGAGCATCGGCCACCCGATTAGATGGGCCAGGCTTGTATTGTATTTCGAAGTCCATTCCCATCAATTTCCGCATCCATTTCTGGTATTCACTACCCACCTCCCTTTGCTGAGTCAAGAAGCGCAAACTGTGTTGATCGGTGCGAATAATGAAGTGCCTCCCAAGGAGGTAATGCCTCCATTTCATGACTGCTAGGCTAATAGCCATCAACTCCTTTTCATAGATGGATTTAGCCTAGTTCCGGACACCAAGTAACTTGCTGAAGTAAGCTATAGGCCTGCCAAGTTGCATCATGACAGCCCCTAATCCGAACCCTGATGCATCAGTCTCGATCACAAAATTTTCTTGAAAATTCGACATAGCTAAAACAGGGGCTGTTATCATGGCCTCCTTAAGGGTTTTAAAGGCCTGAGTTGCTTCCTTCCCCCAACAAAAACTATCCTTCTTCAACTGACTGGTCAGGGGGCTGCAATTTGGGCGTAGTGAGCCGCGAATTTCCGGTAATACCCGGTGAGGCCGAGAAACCCCCTCAATTCCCTCAAATTCCTCGGTTCTTCCCAATCTACAATGGCCTTCACCTTATCCATATCCATTGCCACTCCACCTTCCGAAATCACATGGCCCAAATAAGCCACTTCCCGCTTTCCAAACTCACACTTTTTCCAGTTGGCATACAACTCATTTGCTGCCAATTTCTCTAGCACCGACCGAACATGTCTCTTGTGTTCTTCCTCCCCTCTACTATACACCAATATGTCATCAAAAAACACCAACACGAATTTCCTCAAAAAGGGTTTAAATACTTCGTTCATCAAGGATTGAAATGTGGCGGGAGCGTTGGTTAACCCAAACGACATCATTAAAAACTCATAGTGACCCTCATGGGTTCGGAATGCGGTTTTAAGGATGTCCTCGGCCTTCATTCTAATTTGATGGTACCCCGATTTCAAGTCTAACTTCGAAAACCACCTTGCTCCATTCAATTCATCTAGCAATTCGTCGATTACCGGAATAGGAAATTTATCGGGCACTGTTCCCCTATTCAAAGCACGGTAATCGACGCGGAAACGCCACGAGCCATCCTTCTTCTTGACAAGAATTACCGAACTCGAGAACGGGCTCGTGGAGGGTTGTATTATGCCGGCTTGTAGCATCTCTTGAATCAACCTTTCAATCTCATCTTTCTGTATTTGGGGATAACGATACGGCCTAACACTGATTGGGTTGCTACCCCCCTTTAAAACAATCGAATGCTCGTGTCCTCGGTGCGGTGGCAGCCGCCTGGCATCTTGAATACTCCCTGGAATTCCCGGAGTATCTCAGTCAAAAATGCGGGTGGGGTGGACTCACTGCCTTCACCAATTTCCCCACTTCCCAAGCTGCATAACTCAATTAATAAGCCTCCCCCTTCCTTGCTCACATTTCTAACCATTGCCTTGAGGGAAATGCGGGCCTTCTCAAGTGACGGATCTCTGGTCAGCGTCACTGGCAGTCCCCCCAATCGTAACTTCATCACCTGCGTCTTGCAGTTGGTGGTGACAACCCCCAACTTCTCCAACCACTGAACGCCGAGAATCACATCTGCGCTCCCCAACTCCAGAGGAAGAAAATCATCCCAGACTGACACCCCTCCGTCCAACACCACCTCTACGTGTCGGCAAATTCCCCTCCCTTTGATCGTCTCGCCGTTGCCCAGGGCCACCGAAAATTCTCCACCCCGGGATACCGGAACCGCAGCGTCGGCCACCAGCTGCAAAGCTATAAAATTGTGGGTGGGCCCCGGATCCACCATTACTACCGCCGCTTTTCCTCCCACTGATCCAGGCAATTTCATGGTCTTGGGGTTCGAAATTCCGACCACAGAGCACAAGGACACCTCAATGTCCTCCTCGTTCTCCACCTCACCTTCTTCCTCGAGCTCCTCTTCTCCGGCCACTAACAAGACACTCATTTCCTTCCTTTTGCACCGATGCCCCACACTCCACTTTTCGTCACACCGAAAACAAAGATTTGTTGCCCTCCGTTCTTGCAGCTCTGCCTCCGTCAAGCGTCGCGTAAAGGTGGTTCGATTTTGGGAACCTCCAGTCGATTTGTTTATGTTGACTAGGTAGAAGCCTGAGACTCAGTGTTGGGTATATTACCCCACGACTTGTTGGATCCAGAATGGTTGGGTACCCCATATGTCTGGACCAACCCTAACCCACCAGATTTGTTGGGCTACAAGGACGTATTGAAGGGTTGGCCGGCCCACTTCTCGCCCAGCTTTGACTGAGCCTTTTGGGTTGACAGACCCAATTCTTTTCCTCGATCCGACCCGCCAACTCCATAGCTCCCTCCAGATTTTACGGGTTAAGGAGTCGGACCTCCGATTAATATCACCTCTCAACCCGTTTATGAATTGACCCATCATCAAGGATTCGGGTATGCCTTCTAAAGGGGCATCCATCTCTATATACTTCCTCCTATACTCCTCCACCGTCCCTTCTTGACTCACAGCCAGCCACTGTTCGTAGAGCAAACCCGAGTGCGACGGCCGGAACTCATAGAGGATACGTTGCTTTAGATCGGTCCACCCTACAAACGGCCTCCGCTTCTCCTCCCATTGAAACCACTTCAGAGCGTCGCCGTCCATGGC